CTTTTTATGGCCCGGGGCTTAATTTGAGGAACCACCTATCTCCAACCGTTTCTGATCATGGACAGAGTAGATGTGCTCCATGACTCCTTGATTAAATAATGCCATTTATTAGAACCTGGGAAGCAGGTCTCCTTTGGAACATCATCCCTCCTGTGATCCATATGGGTCTCACCCTCTTGATGTTCAAAAAGTCACTGAAAACCTGGCTATTTTCCCAGGCCTTGGGATAGGTTGGTTGTGGAGCTTTTATTGCTTCCTGCTTTTAAACACTCTAAGCCGTACAGAATGACATGATGTCAGATAGCCTCTAGATTTTATGTATATATGCCTGAATGTATATATAGTTCAACATATTCCTCCTACCCTTCCTCTAAAATCAGTTTTATAGAGAAAAGTGAACCTTATGGCAAAAACATATTAAACAAAGCTTGTATCTTCTCAGTACCTCCAGGGGATACCTCATTTCTTTTCACCTGTAAAACTTTGGATAAGAGGTGTCCCCTTGTTGATAAAAAATACTCACACATTACAACCATAAAAAAGGATATTTGGGTGGCTACTGAATGCATGCAGACCTGGGAATAATTTTCTGATCCCTTGGTACAAGCAAAATGCAATTCTGAAAACATCTAGGACATTGCATATATCTTACTCCCTTCCTGTTAGTTTGCCCATCCTCATTCTGTGTTAATGGAATCATACCTTGCTTTTTTTAAAAAGTATTTTTTCTCCTTTGATTGAAACTGAAAGGAAACATTAAAGCTGACAGGTTGAAAAAAAATGAAGCTTACAAACAACACACACCTAAAGAATGGCCTGTCATAGAATGCACATTTCACTAATCATGAAGGAAAATAGCCTTCAGGGTTGCTTAAAATGCCAGGGAAGAAATAAAATAAACTAGATGATAAAGAGGTGGATGCCTGATATTTTAGTTGGAGGGCTGCCTTAATGGCCTCTGATGATTAATTAATTAATTTTGTCCAGTTGTATGAATGTCACTTGCATCTCAACAAGTGACTCTGGAACAATATTAATCAGAATTCCTACTGATCTAGCAGCATTAGGAGTAATCCAAGGAGTCTCAAAATCTGAACCTTGGCCTGTTTCTTGCCTATGTATGATATATTATTTTGTGGATTTATGGGTAATTGACCCTAGATCAGTCATTGATTATCCATGCTGCCTTCCTCTATTTAGAGAGCCAATTTGGTGAGAGATTAAGGCAGAAACGGGGAGACTGGAACTTCTAATTCTATTTTAGGCATGAAACCAGCTGGGTGACTTTGGTCTAGTTTCTCTCAGTCCCAGGAAAGAGGTTGTGGCAAACAACTTCCTAAATCTTGTCAAGGAAACTACAGGAACTTATTCAGGCAGGTGTTAGGAGTCAATGTTAATTCAAAGACACACATAGATATATACTTCCTTTACTCTTAGCGGCTTATCTCCTGACTTTGGCTCATTCGGTTATTTTATATTGCTTTGCTCCCTCATACAGGATTGTTTGGATATAAGTGTCTAAGTTGTATCTAAGAGACTTGCTAAGAAATGTGACTATGGTGGGCAAGAGCTGGGATTAAGGTGTTTTTGATGCTCCCAAAATTGTTCCTGCCAATTATAGTCCTAATACATTGTGTAACTTTCAGAGTCATTTTGTTGAAAGTGAAAAGAAAAATGCATTTTATTAAATGGCAAGATTGACCTTGTGTGATCAGTTGAAGAACACATGGAATTACTGAAACAACCCCCTCCCCTTCAACCAGTGGTGGGATTCAGCCAGTTCGCACCACTTCGGCAGAACGGGTAACTAATTTTTCGTTGCCCAGGCCCAGACTGGACTTCCAGAAGCGGCGTCCACACAGAGAACCGGTTGTTCACATATTTGAATCCCAACCTTTGAATAAGGTTGAAAGAAAAAGAAGAAACAGAATATTTTCAAACTTGGGACCTATTTTATCAATGGTTAGAGAAAAGATTTAGGGATTAGGAATTTAATTTGTATTAGTGAATAAGATACTCAGACAACACGTTTTTGTTGAATAATTATTATTGAGCTCTGTTAAAATAATAATAATAATAATAATAATAATAATAATAATAAAAAAAAAAAACTTTATAAAAAACATATTTGAATCCCACCACTGCCCTCAACATACACTCACAATTGTCACAGAAAAAATTCTTTGCTGATGAAGGGAGCAAGCTAAATCAATTTTTAAATGTGCAGTAGAAATTCCAAAAAGAACAATGCTTTTTCATGTGGAAATCTTTGCGGCATGTAAAGGTCTTTTTTTCTTTCATAGTCAGATCCTACCCTGCATTAAAGCATCAGCAAAGGAGCACACAATATTATAAATATTTTCAAGGGCATTGTAACTACAAAAATGCAATAGTTTTATGGCCCAGCCCATAAGCAAATATATCTCATGAATCTAACAGTGGACAGAACTTTAAAAGGACCAAATAAACTTTGTTGTTTGTAGATAAGGAGATTTGTTTTTTCGGCTACCAGTCATGAAATACCACTTGCATTAAAAAGCAACTTTCACCTAAAATAAAAGCAAAGGGAAAAGAGCCATCAGTATTTGCAGCTGATTATGCCGGGAGACATAAAAAGCCAATTTTTCTTCTGCCCTTTTCAAAGTCTTCGGTCATAACTTATAAGTAACTACAGAGAACAGAGTAATGATTCCGCACAAAGAAAATGCCTTCCCCTGAACTTTGAAGATAAAACTTAGTTGACTGGCAACTTTTTAAGGCAACCCAGATCTTACATGGGCTGCCTTGCCTTGGTTTCCCTGGGATCCATAAGTAGATTTTTAATGATGTATCTCACCTTGGTAAAGAAGGACCCGCTGCTATAGACAGCTGAAAAAAATTACTGCATTCTGATTATATCCCGATGCCCCCAGCTTCTTACATCCTAGAAGCTAGCATTTTTATACTGTTGTCAGTAACAGGTTTAATATTGTGCTAGGCAACCTAAGTAGATCAAAGGCTAATGTAAAAAGAATATTTAAAACAAGAGGCACATTTAAAAGTTCTGTAGAAAGAAAATCGAAGTAAAAAACTTCAGTCTTGCAGGCCAGGGAAGACTCCCTGCCATTCTTGTTCTTCAGGTATTACAGCTGTTGAGTTCAATTACTCCTCCTCTGCTTTGCCTGCTCACAAGGGTTGACCTAAAGCAGTGGTTCTCAACCTGTGGGTCAGGACCCCATTTGGGATCGATCAACCATTTCACGGGGGTCGCCAAGCAAGGCTGTCCGCCATTATTTTTGTCCGCCATTTTTTTGTCCGCCATTTTTTCCCCCTTTTCCGGCGGGTGCCTTACCTCCCTTGGGCTGGGCCATCTGGTGGTCGGCCTGCTCTGTCTCTGCCGCTTGCCAGCTATGCCTCGGCTGGCGCAGGGGGCGGAACCACGCATGCGCGGCGCTCCCGGGCAGGGAAAGTCCTCAACTTACGACCGGTTGGGTAGTCCTCGACTTACGACCGGTTTAGTCCTTGACTTACGACCGGTTGGGGTCACGGCATTAAAAAGGTTGAGAACCACTGACCTAAAGTTTCCTCCCACCCTGAGGTTTTTGACTGCTCCCAGTTGCCAACACCTCTGGCATCCCATGACGAGAAGCTGATGACATTGCATGGGTAAGCATGGAGTCTGATTTTCTAGCAGACTACTTTTTCCCATCTGCTAAGTATTTTGCTACTTCCAAAAACATTGCTGTATCGGAGCTTTCTACAATGGAAGATGGCAAAAACGTCCAAGGAAATTTTCTTCAATCAATTTATTTCTTCAGAAAATGTGGGCATTTCTTAGGAGGAGTAGAGGCTTGACCCACAAGATGGGCAGTAAATAAATTTGATAAATGTAAATAAGTAAGCAGTGTGGAGAACTACAATTTTCAGGATTTTTGGAATGGTCCCTAGTTAATGGGACATAGGGAAAAGCGAAGGAAATTACAGAATCTAGGATAGTTCGTGGTTTTAACTAGAAAGAGAATAAGGGGTGGAAAAGAGAGAGGCGTGGGAGGGGATCTGAATGGCTGGATGTATTTGGACTTGCTCACTTTTAGTGTGCACTAACAATTTATATCTAAGTGAATGTGAATGTCTAAATAAAGCATGTCCTGTTCAAAAATAACATCAAAAACTTTCCCTCCCCAACTCTGACAACAAGACTCCAGTGGAATTAGGGATATCAACAGGGATGTGAATCACACAGATTAATGGTTTTGTTGATGCATCCCAGAAAAAAGTAGGCATGTTAAAATAAATGCAAGATCTATAGTTAGCTGTACTCTACCTCCACAGTTCGCGCTCTCATCAATGCTTGATGCTGGCAGGATTACTAAACAAAATGAAAAAAGGGAGGGGAAACGTCATTTTTGTCATCTGCGACACTGTACAGGCAATTAAAATGATTTTGCTCACTATGTGGCAAGTTAATTTCTGCTGTAAACAAGAAGCTCTTTCAGAGATCTGGTGAAAAATACAGAATGAAATATCATACAAAGAGAGAAAAAAAACCCTTCTTGAAAAGAACATGCTTCCTGTCATCACAGAAATGTGGATCGGATTGAGAATTATTTAAAGATAACAGTATTCTATTGAGAAAAGATCTGTGCACAAATCATAGTCAGATATATATAAAAACTCAAAGAAATGAGCGGTACAATTCAAATGGCATTTACAAAACATCTGAATGACACAGGTGGATAATATAGCACACATATTATGCTTTTGCCTCCTGACTCCAAGTTGGCTAGCTATTTATTAAATAAATTTATATAGCCACCCAACTCATGCATAGGTGACCCTAAGTGATTTATAACATTTAAAACTTTAAAAGATTAACCATATAAATAAAACTGTTAAAACACCCTAAGCCACCCTTTATTATGTCTTATATGACATCATTTATTTCACATCTTTGAACTGAAGAATAATAATAGTCTTGGAATTTGCTGCACCAGACAAAGCAATGAATAAAGATATGTCAGTATTTCAACTGACTTTACTTTCATGTTTCCTGTCATATTCACTGTTAGTGATTCATCTAATTCATCCAAGTTCATCTTACTTTAATGCAAGCTTAATTTATTTTGTATTTATGAATCATAGAATCCCACACATCCAGTGGTGGGATTCAGCCGGTTTGCACCGGTTCAGTAGAACCGGTAGCTAAATTTTGCTGCATTTGGAGGACTGCCTGGCTTCCAGAAGTCCAGGCTAGGCCTCAGAGGCCTGGAAGAGGCCTCCCAGACCTAGAATGGCCCACCGGAAGTGCGTGGCTGCCACTTCCGGAAGTCCCTTCTAGGCCTCGGAGGCCCAGGCCTGCATCAAATAAGAGAACCGGTTGTTCAGGTATTTGAATTCCACCACTGCACCCATCCATATAAACATAAATAGTCTACCTTTGCACTTGTAAATAAATAGTTTCATATTTGCTCATTAAGAATATAACTGATGTCCTTTTTAACATTTTAGCCATACGCTAAATAAAATAGATGTTAGTCTGAGACAGGTAACTTCTTGAAAATGGTTTAATCAACATGGCTAAAACTCATCATAACCACTTGCAAAATTATTATACTCCTACAAAGTATAGATTATTCCTAAATTATTTCGTTTGTATCTACCCTCTATAATCATATATTAATTTGTATAATATTCACTTTGCCAAATGCCATCTTATGAATGTAAGCTTATGAAACATGAAAAATCGTTCAATAAACCCACACGCACACATCATCCTATTGATATTAAAAATAGCAACCACTTTTATTCCATATGGGAAGCTCACCCAAACACTTAATCAACTAGTCAGATTCTTGCCTCTCTAGTGTACTGAAACATATGAAACTCGACCTACCAGGGATCTCATTATAAAGACATTCTTGGTACTGTGTGCTGTTCCCTGCACACTGAACAGATCCTGGACTGTGGATTTCACAGAAACGGCTACGATACTGGATGCTATCTTCATTGCATAAACTCCATTCAGACCATTCAGACCAGCCTCCTTAAAATTATGTATGTCAGAAATAAGATAAATTAGGCAGGATGATTCAGTGTCATGCTAGGAAAAAGTGTAAGTGATGAATACTGAACTAAAGATTGGAATGCAGTTGTTCAGCTGAACAATCCGCCTGGGAGTTATAGTTCAAAAACATACTGATAGTATAAAGTAATCAACATAACTTTTCAGACTATGCCTAGCACATATTTTACAGAACATCCTCACTTAGCAAAGTAAGCTAAAAATTCTTACTGTGCTTGCTCTCAGTTTCATCAAAACCTCCTCCTTTAGTTTGTAACTTGGAATAAAATGTTCCCACTACAGTTGTTTTTAGTAACCATTTGGGAATGGATAATGTATAGCCATGCTTTTACAACTAACTCTTTCAATATCACTTTCAAGGCTATCAATAGAGTCACCCTCTTTCTGGAATAGTGAATATTCTTTAAATGTGTTAATTTTAATAAAAACTGTAAAGATGTCATGACAGAATCCTGTCAGCTATGTTCCACCAATGGGCTTTCAAAGTATCAGATCTCATACAGCAGAACAGGTGACAGTCAGCAGCTGAGAAGACAGCCTTCCAGCTGATTAAAATTCTGTAATTCCAACCTAATTGGAGGATGCCAATAGGAAAGATAATACTAAGCATTTAACAGTAGTTAAAGAGTAGTTATTGCTGTTTCATAGTAATCTTGGGAAGCATTATACTAGCAGGTCCTGAGGAACAAATTAAGTGCTAGCTACCTTCACATGGGTGTGTATTGCAGAGGGCTTCCTCTGTGTGTAGCCCAATGCAGATATCCTCTCCATTAGTTGGTGCTGGGTTGGTGCAGGTTCGGGTGCGTTGGTAGTGTCCACCTCCACATGTTGCTGAGCACTGAGACCAAGGAGTCCAGCAGGACCATGAGCCCTTCACTGTAGATGATTCAGAACACAATAAATAGGCACCTCTCAGTTTAGTCTACTTCAACCCAAATAACAGCCTTATTGCAATAATGACAGACCAAAGACTACAGTGAAATAATTTTTAGATAAGTGGCACTATTGTTAAGATTTTACTCTTACTTTTTATATTTTTATACAGTTACCAATCGATAAAAGTTCACTTGGTGAGAGATAGAAAAATATAATAGCAAGACAATGTAAAATATTATAAATTACTGAAACTAAAAAATAATTAAAACACTGAAGATGTTCAGATGAAGAGACTGTAAGATATGCACTTAAAAATATTTGAGCGAATAAAAGCATCTTCACTGAAAATACCAAGAATGTCACAATGAAAGGCTTTCCGGAAGATTTTTTAATAACAAGGACACTACCTCCAAAAATACTTGGTCTTTAATGCATATACATGAAACTTGAGCTCTCTATATATGTTGTATATACGATATATATCTATATATGATGTACATACCACATATACAATTATGTTGTATAGTTACAACATAATTAGAACTTATCATAATCATATTAACTGGGATTGTTCAGCAATGACTGAACATATTTTCACTGCCTAAGACATTATTTCCCTTCTTTCACTGAGTCAATGCATTCAGAGAAATCCTTAAAAGAAGACCTGAACAGTTCAAGTAGGTAAATACATGGGAAAGTAGTCTTTGAGAAAAACTGACCCTAAGCAATTTAGAGTTTTAAGGATTAAAATCAATATTTTAATGTATGAACTACTGCAATTGACAAAGCACTCTGCTTTGTGTGAAAATGCCAATACCAGTAAAGGACCAATCTTATTCTGGAATGCTAGCAATTTTGACCTTGTTTTTAAATGCAGGCAACATTCTGTTACTGCAGTCTAAATATTTTAGACCAGCCTGGCAAATTAGGATGATAAAGTGGAGCAATCACAAGTCATTTTGTAAAAAAGTGGTACAATACTTGGAATACCAATGGTCTTGTTTAAATGGGAAATCAAAAAAGGTCTTACCTGGGCAAGGGTGTGAGTTACAATCCTGATATTCCATTGCAGATCCTATGCAAGGAACGCCACCATTCTTGGGTTCTGGATTGGTGCACATTCGCTTCCTGGTTCTGAAGCCCAGTTCACAATCCCGGGTACAAGATGACCATCCACCCCAAAAGGACCAGCCACCATTGATAATGCGGACAGAGGTCTTGCCACTTTTCAGAAGATCATCAACTAGAGCTAGTTGGGGAGAGAAATAAAAGGTAGCAATTAAATACACTAGTAGGGCAACAATATACACAGAGAAAATCCAGGCAAACCTGATAGGATGGGCATGTAATATCCTTCTGGTAATGGGACAAACTACAACTTTATTACACAATGAACTATATCTCAACTCCATTTCAAACAGGCAAAGCATTGTAGATCATTTCTTAGCAGCCTCGGGGTTTTTTTATTCTTTTTTTTTTATTCTTTTGCACTTTAGTGCAAAGCTAAGGCACCATAAAACCCGGCTATACAAAGAACAAGGTATACTCTCTCCACCTTTCTTTCTTGAGAACAGGGCAAGGAGGTTTCTGACTCAGGCAGCACAAATTTCTGGCCAGGTTGTATCCTGATCTTACACAAAGGAGCAGAATGAAGTCAGTAATAAGACAAAAAGCTTGTGTTTACAGTTTTTAGAAACTGGCCAACCAAGGCAATCAGAAATTATGAGAAATAAATTGTTAAATAATTCATAATATTCTCAGCAGATATTGATGTATCGGTTACCTTAATTTTGAACCAAAGTTTCCATTTCCTCTTCCTGAAGTATGCCATAGATCAAATTCAGCTTGGTCTTAACTAAGATATGTCCACCTTCCTTAGTATTACATTCACAAGGCAAGGACAGTTTTACCGGTAGTTTTGATTTTCTGCCAATGTCTGGTGCTGAGTAAGCACCAGGGAAAGGATCTCATCTGCATTTTTATGCTTTGATAGCACAAAATGATAATAAAGGAATTCCATTCTTCACATTAATGAAGACATCATAAAGAAGGTGGAATGATTACCTCTGGGGAAGAGTAGGATGAAATATAAGAGTTTTGGTGGAAAAGATATATGACTATTTCATCTACCATCCTGTTCCCAAAATACTCAGCCAGCAGAAATGAGGGGAACAAGCAGAAAGCAAACCATTCCTACATCTTGTGGCAGCATAATTACACCTAATTTAATTATACAATATTTAAAGAAATTCTCTTTATCTTTCAAACAGGTTTTAAGCATTATGCAAGTAATCTTTAATAATTCTCTCACTATTCCTTTTTTTCCCTAAACTAAAAGCTGCAAATTGTAATCTTTTCTTATAATAGAGTTATCTCAGCCATCTGGCTGCTTTGAAATCCTTTCTGGTTCTTTCAGCAATATAGTATCATTTTGAGATGCAGCAACCAAAACTGCATAAAATATATCCTACTGAGTATATAAGATACTGATAATCTTATTTTACGTATCTCCCTTCTGATGCCTAGCATGGAAATTGCCTTTTCCACAACCATGCTGATTTTTTAACTGAGTTTTTCATCATGAGCTTGAAATGTCTTTCTTGGTCAGTTGCTGACAACCAAAGTCTATTTACTTGCAAATGGCTTAATAACTAAATAGGAGACCCCAAGGATGCAGTTTACCAGCCCATGTGAACCAGAGACAGAATGCTTCTGCAAAGTATATTAGGACAGTTAATAGATGCTTTGTCACCTTAGTGACAAAGAAATCCAAATCAGGTATAAATTCATAAATGCTTCTCATGGCTGTTCTCACAAAGTGAAACCTTGCCCTTTTAAAAGCATAAGTCAAGCCTGCAAATTTGCACACTACTGCAAGTATAGGCTCTGCTCATTAAATAATAGCAAAAAGAACTGAAGTTTGGTAAGTAGACAAACAAAAAGATTTCATCTAGTCACTTTATACTGTAGGTCAGGGGTCCCCAATCCCTGGGCTGTGGACCGACACCAGGCCATGGCCCACCAGGAACCAGTCTACGCAAGCGAGCAAAATGCCATCTGCGCAAGTGCAGGACCCAGGCAGAGCACAAAACCACATTACTCCCCCCCGAGTCTATGGAAAACCTGCCTTCCATGGAACCAATCACTAGCACCCACAAGGTTGGGGGCCACTGCTATAGATGATTCTGATTACAATATTTTGCATGTAATTAAAGTGCCACAGTTTCTTCTGTGATAGCTGATGTAGCACCATTCGTTCGTTCATTCATTCGTTCGTTCATTCATTCATTCAATTTCTATAGCTGTCCAACTCAACCAAGTGACTCTGGGCAGCTTACTATTCTAAAATTATAAAACAAAACAAATTTTAAAAAAAAATTAAAACAATAAAACACTCACAAAATAAGTAAGTACAAATAGCAGCTGGGATGATTAATCAACTAATGTACCGGGAGTGATTCTACTTAGTAACAGTAATTCTTATGCTCCTGGAGAATTTTGAGATGGGCACCTTTATAAACATAGCAATTTAAGAAGCTCCCCCTACATCCTGTGAGTTTCATGCATTCTAATTTCCCAGAATTCATCATCTCTACCAGCTGGCTTTGATCTGCTCTTCTACTAGCAGCCCAGATGGGGGCTTTCTCCAACTCTCTGTTTCATCCACCCAGGCTTCCACTATCTGAAATAAGTTGTCTGCCTTCTGGCAAGACATACAATCTGTGTCGCAAACTGCGGAGCCATCGTTGGGGCAAAACCGACTCTCGGTCTTCTTTCTGCCAAACTGTAGGTCATGGGGGTCAGCCAGTTGAGCACGACAGGTGTAACGGAAGCGCTGCTCTTGGCGGGCCCCACTTTGAGTAATATTGGTAGGGGTCCAAGGGGTCCAGGGGGTGCTTCTCCGCACTTCTGGGCAGGCCTCTGGGCTGCAGGTTTTGTACTCCTATAGAAAGCAAGAGAAGGGAAAAAAGGGAAGATTAAACCAGAGTCTTTAACATTTTTGAGGGAAATACAAGTTTACCACTACCCTGGGGTACTCCACGATTTAAGGAGATAAATCTGGAATATTTGATTAAAAATACAGAAATCGTTGAGGCAGAAATAAAGCTCAGAAGGCATATAAAACAAGTTCTCTTATTGCTCCCAGTGCTTTAATTAATAGAATATAATACTGAGGTGGCAGACCATAGCTGAATAATATACATTGCTCAGGCATATATGCACAAATTTTATAGGCAAGTCCTAGCGTTCACTAAAGTGGTAAAACATTGGGGGTGTCACGTCAGAAACAGACTCATACGACTGAATGCTTTTCTTAATGCTTTTAAAAAATATCCTTCAGATAAAAATATTGATGTCAAGTCAAACCCAGCTTCCCATCTGAACACAGAGTCTTAGAGAGGCATAGGACAAGCAGTCGTGTTGTTTATTCCTATAAATAGTTTCTACTCACAAGATAAAAACAAATGACAAAAAAGCACCTGAAGGCAGGACAAGAAGCAATGGATAGAAACTAATCAAGGAGAGAACCAATCTAGAACTCAGGAGAAATTTCCTGACAGAACAATTAATCAGTTGCTTCCAGAGGTTGTGGGTGCTCCAACACTGGAGATTTTTAAAAAGAGATTGAATAACTATTTATCTGAAATGGTACAGTGTCTCCTGCTTGAGCAGGGAGTTGGACTAGAAGATTCCAAGGTCCCTCCCAACTCTGTTATTCTGTTAAATGGATTAGAAAAATACAGCAGTCTAATATTAGTTTCTATCAAACTCCTTCTAGAGCAGGGGTGTCAAACTCGCAACGTCATGTGACGTGCCGCGACGTATCGTGACTTTTTTTGCCATTGCCAGCAATGGGGCAGGTGCGGTTTCGCTATGATGCATCCAGCCTGCAGGCTGGCAGTTTGACACTCCTGTTCTAGAGGATACCTATTTAGCTTCTAACAGCAAAAATAAGATTTATATCAGTTTGAGGGCAGAGGATATTCAATTTGGCCCTCAATAAGACTTTGGCCACCTAATGAGAAGGAAGGACTCACTGGAGAAGGGCCTAATGCTGGAAAAGATTGAGGGCAATAGAAGAAGGGGATGGTAGAGAATGAGGTGGCTGGACGGAGTCACTGAAGCAGTAGGCGTGAGCTTAAATGGACTCCAGAAGATGGTAGAGGACAGGAAGGCCTGGAGGAACGTTGTCCATGGGGTCGCGATGGGTCGGACACGACTTCGCAACTAACAACAACAAGAAGAAGACCAGAGTTTCAAATTAACTGTACGTAACACAGAAACACAGCTGATTCTCAGAACCTTCTCTATTATGCTAGACATTGCTTGTGAATATGAAACATCCTGGGGAGAAGAAGGAGAAAGTGCTCAATTCTTTCTGCTTTGTAAAGAAAGTTCTTCTCAAACATGTCCTATGATAAAAAAAAAGCATAACTGAAAACTGAGACAGCCACAATATGTTAACCCCAGTAATTCATTTATATAGTTCCATGTAAAATTGTCACTCCCCAGCCCATAACTGTTATAGCTCCAACATCTCTTAATCAACACAGCTCTGCTACAAAGCTTCTTTAATTGCCATATTTAATAGGCCAAATATTAGCACAAAAACACAACATGTTTTGGAGTAACACAGAGATTCCCAGTTGAGGAAAGAAAGGAATTTATTGCTATGATTCATTCGTTTGTTTGTTTGTTTGTTTGTTTGTTTGTTTGTTCATTCATTCAATCATGTCATTGGTGACGTGCAACCCTATTGGGATTTCTGAGGAAGGTATGGCAAACTGAAGTATGGCGAACTGAAGCAATGATCATGGCAAAGACCAAGGAATCAGTTCCTTGAAATCTCTCTGAATGAAGAGAAGATGGAAGATTACCCACATATGTTCCAGATGGCTGCTCCCCAAAAGGAGATTACAGGATAGTGATTTCCTATGTGTCTGAATGGAATGGGACTAGCCATATTGCTCAGAACCATGGTGGAGATATTTAAAGGAAACTAACTTTGCAAACCTCACCTTCTGATCATTTTGGGAAATTGCTTATTAACTACTTCTAAACTATTAGAGACCTTTGAGATGGCAAGTTTGAAAATGCCTTGTGAATCTGCCTTTAATCCGGAACAAAAGAAATGTTAACCATAATGTTAGAAATTTAGTCTCAAATAAATAGAAAAAAACTAAATACATTTTTATTCCAGAAAGTTACGAAGAGGCTAAGGGTTCAGATAAAATTTGAATATTAAAATTTATATAATAATATTTTGGAATTAATTATAAAGTATAAACAGCTTCCCATAGGAAATAGATCCTGTTTTGATTACTACAAGACATAACATAAATAAATTAATGATTTCAAAAACTAGACACTAGAAGGCACTAAGGAGGGAAGATATATAGACCTGCCAGATGATGCAAAATATAATGACTGAAGGAAATGAAAATGAAAATACTGAAGGAGACTTTTGAAAAATGGAATCAGAAAACAGTAGCCACAATATCAACAATATCAGTAATAGTGTCTATTTCTGTGAATAGGCTATGATATTATTGAAGAAATGTCAAGTCCTGAAGCATCCTGAACCAGAAACTTCAGATTGGACCTCCCCTCACCTGAAAACACCGACTGGAAAAGACCAAGGAGAAAGGAGAACTACTGCAACACCAGACCTTCCACTCCTAGATTCCTAGCTGGTCTAGAAAGATACCATTATCAATTGTATCAAAAGCTGCTGATAGATCAAGAAGGATCAAGACAGTTTCATCATTTCCATCCTGGCTGTACAGGGGTCATCAGCAAGCGTGATCAATGTGTCTCTGTATTTTGCTGCAGCCTGAAACACAATTGCAATGGGTCCAGATAATTTGTTTCCTCTAGGGCACTCTGGAACTTCTCAACGACCTTACTGAGAAAGGGAAGATTGGAGATTGGCTGAAAATTATCTGGAACCATTGAAGAAATGACACACCGCTGTCTCCTTCAAAGCAGCAGAAGCACCCTGTATCTCAAGAATCAATGTACTGCTGTTTGCATCCAATCACGTATCATTTTTTAGGAGAGTCCCTCATTCTTTAAGTCAACTTTCTGATTTGGGATGGCATCTTCTCTTGAAAGATGTAAGTAGGCTTCAATTGACTGTCTAGAAGAAATAAGACAAGACACCTGAGCAGGTCAGCCCTTCAGTCTCCATTATTTTCACTATATTCTGGACTACAATAATTTATCTATATCACCAACAATCAATTTGAGTGATTGTTGCAGGACAGTCAAGATAACAAGACATATCCAGGAAATGTTGTTTATTAGCTCTACATCGTGATAAGATGTAGGATTTGTTTCAGACTAATTTTGAAATTAAAAATTTAAACTACTGTTGATTTTAGAAACTGAGAGATGGTAAATGCTTTCCAAAAATGGAAATTGGTGAACAGCAATGTTTTATTTTCTTTTTCTCTTGGATCTTACAGGACGTGTTTCATCATCTTGAGATACTTAATTTTTTTTCTTTTTTCTCCTGTAGCAAGACTCAGATGAAGCTGTTAGGGGAATCTTGAAGAGAGGCAAAGAAATCCAACAAAGCAATATCAAACCGTTTTAACTAGAAAACATACCACAGCACAGCCTGGACAAGAGTTTCCATTTTCACAGGACCTCTGCCTGGAGTGCATGCCTCCACCACAGTTTGCACTACATTTATTCCAAGGACCCCACGAAGACCAGAAGATTGGTAATGGGCATGGACTGTTTTCATTGCAGAATCTGAATGCAAATAAAAATGGGAAGGACAATGGAAGCAGACACAATCAGTGTTCTAGATCTCATGCACAAGGAAAAGTTAGAAATGATTCCTCAGATCTATTTATACCATCAAGAAGACAAACAAATTTCCTGAAGCTAACTTCAGTCTGAGTACAAACGCAACAGCACAAAAAGATACGGGACACATACTGTAGGTTACCATGTTTAAACCACTGAAATCAGCAAATCTTAAACTAATTTTGGCTAATCTGCCAGGTTTCATGTATTTCCTTCAGGATTTCCGGATATTAGAAATTAGATGTACGTATACATAATAAAAAACTGAAAATATATTTTATTACTATACCATTTTTATTCATTCATTGCCTGGATATAAAATAGAGCAGTGGTTCTCAATCTGTGATCCACAGACCCTGGGGCTTGAAGAAATGTTATGATTTAAATATTGAGTTAAGTTTTGATGGTCTGTGGCCATGGTCCATGGCCACAAAAGGTATTTAAAAGGAGTCCGTGGTGAAGAAAAGGTTGAGAACCACTGGAATAGACTAAATGTATTTCAGAAACAGGCAGCTTTACAAATGTTTACTGGATGCTGAGTCATGGTAATTAGACTTTTCTTGATGGTTCAAAACAATTTGCTGCTTATTCAAATAGCTTTTTCAGTCTGAGCAAGTTAATTAGGGGGACCCCATATAGGTCCCCAAGGGTGGTTTCATCTCTCATCTAATCTGGTTAGGCTCATTAAGTGAATAGCAGAGAGTTGTTGGGATGTAAATGTTCCAGCATCCCAACAACTCTCTGCCTACTTGCCTAACAAGCCTATCCAAATTGGGTGAGAAATGAAACCACCCTTGAGGACATATATGGAGTCCCCCTAACCAACTTCCTCAGACTATAGAAGCTACTTGGATAACCTGTGACACATTTCAAACAAACAATAAAAGAAGCCCACTTGCCACTGCTCAACTTCCAGACCACTCTACCTGGATGACTGAGAATCTTCATCAACATTTTACAAATGTTTATTGCCAGAGATGCAAATTAGCTTAATATTAAACCCGTAAGGAATCTGTACAGAATGTAGAATACCAGCTTCTTGGAATTAAATTGGCCTAAATAGCAACTAAGCTACAACACTAGAAGGAAGCTGTATTTTAATATTGGTTAGAAAGCAATATATTGGGTATAATTGAGCTCAGTCTGTCATTACCTTTTGAACCTACCATGAAATAACATTTTTGTTTAGAGATAAACTTGACATTGTTAACTAAGATTTATTTCCAAGAAAGTTTTTATTCTTTAATTCTGTGCACCTACCTCTACATGAACAGGGATTATTTCCAGAGGACCACATTTTTATTCTGCCTTCCTATGCATTCAAAAATAATCTGAAACCATATATATACAGTATATACCCAATCTCTTTCTTTTGTTTCTTTTAGTTATACAAATAAATACTTTACGCAAGCTATTAAAAAGCTATTGGCAAAGTTATTTTTCTCTCTAAAATGTAAAAAATAATAATAATATTCAACTGGATCAAACAACAGTGTCTATTATTACCCCAATGTTTTTGATTGTTGCAAAATAATACATTCTAATTCAATTTAATTGCAGTACTTAGTTGCTTAATAGAAATATATCATTAAGTCCAAGGAAATTAGTAAAGCAAAAAAAGAAAACCATTGTTTTCATTAGTCACAAGTTAACTCAAAAACAAGTCCAGAATGATGGAGTACATGATTTTACATTTTGAATTCCTAAAGATGCTTATGCTGACTATCTCCAATCAAGAAAATAATATATGGGTCTTGTAAATCTGCATTTTCAGGGATTATTGACAAATATTTTAAAATCTTGGGATTTCAGCAACATAGTATGTAGGAAAAAAACAAAAGCCCTATTATGGTTTTAACTATAATGCTGTTATGCACCCTCTGCAATTGTTCCATATTCTCTTTATTTTGGACTAGGCCACTCCCAGATCCAAAACATATACAAACTCGTTTAATATCATTTTCATGGTTCACTATATCTTTATAAGAAATGATTTGCCATCTCCCCACAAGTGATGACAGCCTACATTGAAAACAGCTGCAATGCAGGCAATGTATCTTTTTTAAAAAACAGCTGCCATTCCCAGATATTATCATTTTGAATAATTATTACTAAAAGCTTATAGACCAAGGTTATGCAACAAAATACCATATTATAATATTACTTTCTCCTAAGAATTGTCTTGGTCAGACAGGCCTACCTCCAATAAACTATAAGTTGTGGGTGTCTCCAACACTGGAGGTTTAAGAAGAGATTGCACAACCATTTGTCTGAAATAGTATAGGGTTTCCTGCCTGAGCAAGAGATTGGACAAGAAGACCTCCAAGGTCCCTTCCAACTCTGTTATTCTGTTATTCTATCCACTCTCAAGCTCCATGCCTCCTTTTACACATTCAACATCCTACAATGAGCATGTTGACTCCTTAATAGGCTGGGTGTTTGGGGAGGGGAGGATTCTGGAGGATTTGAGAAGGCGGACAACCTTTAGAGAGTATTCTAGTTCCAATGTCCCTATTTACAACATTTATAAGCCATTCCTCACACATATCTGTTTGGACTGGCAACCTTAATTTATTACTGGAGAGAAATATCCCTGTTCCTTAAACATTAAGTAGCCTTAGGATGGCTACTGGGCTCTGTTTAAAGGTATATTATGCCACAGTGGAATCAGCCGTAGACTTTGCCTTTCAGAATCAGCAATGTTCACAATTTAACACTGATGCCTATGCTTTCCAGTATGCGTTTGATTTTAATTAATCACAATTCTAAAGTTTAGTATATATCTAGCCTTCATTTCCACCCTGAGTTCTGCAAGACAACCTAGGAACAAATTAATAAAAAGATCAATTTTAAAAAACACAGTAAAAATTAAATCACATAAAACAAATGAAATGATTGAAAACAATAACAACAGTAAAAGACAATTGTAAAATCATTCAGAAAAAGCTTGGGAGAATAATGTAATTTCTATTAGTATTTAAGAAGTAAAAATAAAAAATGGGTGCTAAATAAGGGTCCTGGGATAGTCCTATTGACAGTTGCCAGCTCCCCAGCCTCCTTGGTAGGAGCCACCAGTGGGAGGCTTCTGAGCAATATCACCCCAAATGGGCAGGTTTAGACTGGAAAAAGCAACTGTGAAGGGTATTGTACCACATAGCGTCCCCCTCTTTCCAAAGAAAACACAGAGCTCTGGCTTAAACTTTGACAGAAGTTTAGGGATGGGGAACATCTCTCACCGCTCCTCTCTGCTTTGTCCGACACAGACCCTGCCTCCGTATCGCGGAGCAGGGTTGCTGCATGACCTCTGACGGACCTGAAAGCCAATCCCACAGGAAGTGCTGCAGGGGGCCCAGGACGACCATGGGGTCCAAGCTCCATTCCTGACAGAAGGGACGGGAAAGGAGGAGAGATAAAACATGGCAACTGGGTTAATGTTTTTGTTCAGTCTTATGATAAGTTCAACCCCACTGGCTATGAGGTACCAGCAGGTATGCAGAGCTGACTAGGTTGATTAAAAACATATTAATAGAATTAAATACCCCCAATGGCAAAATTTATAATGATAATTCAAAAGTAGTAATTTCATTGTGAGCAGATTTATGCCTAGGTAAATTATAACACAAATAAGTTTAGATTTTATAAACCCAATTACTCATACATTCCTCAACGTTCATAAATTTATACTCTTGCTGTAATTTTTCATGTTTGTGAACTTTGTGACAACATTTTATGGTATTGCAGAAAAAGAAGAGGGAGAACAAGATTGAAAGTGGAGGATTAAAGTTAGCCTGGCTTTGGAAGTTTGATTTCTCAACAATTACTTGTTTTAAGTAACAAAGCTTAATAAGCAGTGACACTGTAGTATGTATATCCATTTGAACGGCTAGAATAGGTTATGAACTTTTTAAAAGCTAACGATAAAAACTATAAAAATTGCTACCTAAAAATCAGAACATTGTTATTTCAGAATCTTAACACTACATATAGATGAACAGTGGACATTTGTTTACACATATTTTAAGGGATATTTTAAAAGATTCAGATAATATCTCTAAGGACTTGCATTAGTTAAAATAGCAAACCACGGTTAAAACATAAATTATAGGGTCTGTGGTCCATTTTTGTTTTTGCTATCACTGCTTTTATTTATCTTATTGACGTTTCTATTAATGTTTCACTTTAGGTAATTTTTACATTCCATGTATCTTTATGACTGGTGGGCTAACATAGAAACAAATAGAATATATGTATACTTGAATCTTCTAAATACCCTTTGCAAATGTGATTTTTCAATAAAGTTTTAAAAAAGGCAATAGATTCCCCATAACGTGTGTTAATATTAAGGCCCAGCCAACGAAGTGAAGAATCACTCCAATACTTGCAATTATTTCTTTGAGAAAGATTCAGGTTGTACTGCCTATTCTTCAAACAGACATGTGGTTTTCTTAATCCCAATAGGAAATACATTTCAGGAACAAACTTCTATCCTATTCAAGAAAATATCACAAAGTAGAACCAGACACGGTTTTTCTATCATCCCAACATTCCTGTTTTCTCTACCTTGGAAAATGAGGTCATTTTTTAAAAAAAAAGTTTGCTCTGAAGTCTTTTTCACAAGCTATGTTCTTTCTTGGATTCCTGAATGTTTATGTGGGAAACAGATATAACTGAAGAGCTTGGAAACTAAAAAATTGCTGGTAGTTCACCTGTTGTAGCAGGAATATTAGAATCAAAACTCCACCTTTGTCTACACTTTTCTAATTTGTTCTCTCATTCTCTCTTGGGAGCATGACTTTAGATCAGTGGTATTTTATTTCTCTTTCATTGGAGGGCAAGAAATTTTTGAAAATTACTTTTTCCCCTTGTAACCAAGTCCTGTTTTTTTAGCATGTCGGAAAAAAACTGAACATCAAAAAATGTTTTGATAAAACAAAACAAAAAAATGGGTAAATGCTTACTATGTCCAGAATGATATAGGAAAAACACAAACAAAACCACCAATATCCAAATCAAAACCATACACAAAATCTAAAACTATTAGCTAGTTGTGTGTCCTCATGTCAACATAATCACATGTAAATAATTCAACCATTTTGTCAAACATATGTTTAGAGAAATATTTGGAATAGCAGCAGAATATAAAGTTTAATATGTTCAGACTTCTTTTTTTTTGAAGATTCAGATACATTCAATTCTCAATAAGGTTTTTATTATCACAGTGACATTTTCAATAGAAATCTTAGATTAGTTAGTAAAACCTCTCCTTTAAATATTTTAATGAAAGAATCACAAGGCATACAAAGCCAGTTAAAATGGAAAATTGTAGGCCTGTGAAGAATGTAAGATTATAATATGGCTGTATTTTTAATAGTCATTAAATGTTAACACTAAATAAATTTTTCATCTATTTCCTACAGATAATCATATGGTATTCTACATTTAACTGATCAACTGTGCTGGCAATAATTAAATTATTACACTATGTATCTTATGCCTCTTGCAGAGAAAATGATGCTCCACATGGTGGAGTTGTAACAGCTGTATAAACTGCTTTTCAAACAAAAAACAAAAAAACCCAGGGAGGATCTAGAAGATCTAATCAAACTTTTTTGATTTTTTTAAATCATGTGTCATCCTAGAGTGAGAGAAGACAGATATTCATATCCCAGGTGAGGCACAAATTCAGTGGGAGATTTTGAGAAATCTTTTCAGCACCAGGTTCTGTTTAGAAAATCAGAATAATTATCCATCACACTATTTTCATAAGCACAAAATATACCTTTGCATATTATGTGTCTAAGTAACTAATAAAGTTCTATTACCTCATTTAATAATTTTATTCCAAATGCTAATGTTCTCTAGCAAAGAGATGGAAAACCATTCCTTCCCAGTGAGATTCAATTTGAGTCTGCTCTTATATCAGTCAAAAGAAAACTGGCTGAACAGATTCTGCAGAGAAACTAATCTAGATTAAAATATGTAGAAACATTCTCCACAAGAACCATGCATATTGTGAAGGAATTTTCCATGTCTCTGCTAGCTAATTTTGTCACAGGTATGTATAGCATCCTAAAGAAATATGAATTAAACTCCTTCAAGTGTGACAGCTTAGACTGCCAAAGCATGCAAGGCAGCATATGAAGTGTATTTCACCAATAACTACCTGAAGGGTGCACAGGCATGAGAAGAGAGATGTAAATGCACACTTGTGGATGCATGCATTTATGTGTTTATTTATGCATTGATATGCATGCCCTCATCTCTATTATGTACCATTTAATCAGCTGATAACACACACATGACAGGAACACATAATACTGGAAGAATAGCTTCAGTGTACCCACTAGCCATTGTACAGTTTCAGGTAACTTCACAAAATTAAATCTGATTCTCTGTGACCCAGGCCAACAGAAGGGATGTGTTTAAACTGCTGCTTCAGTACTAAAACACCTTACCAATAACACTGAAAAATGCAGACCATCTTTCTTTTTCATTAATAACCTCACACCATTCTTCAGTATAACACCAATATCCTTTACTCACTCAACGAGGTAATTCTAGATTTTGAAGCTTCAAATTTCATGTCTTTCATGTTTCTGTTTTTTAAAAACTAGCTCATGACCTTTGTTTTAATACTGAGGTAGTGCTAGAACTCGTATAGTTAATGGAGCTAATACCATATTTTCCATCAAAGACATTGGAACTAGGTCAAATCTTAAAGTGAGAAGGGTTAAGTGGGCAAGTACCGGGACATGGACTATTTAAATCTACGGACTTTTAAACATGATAGCTTACATTTGCTGTGATTAAAACAGCAAAGCTTTGATCTAACGTATGTCAGTTTAATAGGATTTGGATTTAATGAAGAAATCCTACTGAAAAAGATAGCCATACCGAGACATTGGTGGCACAGGAGGAATAATGAATTGAGAAGATGGAGGATGGTTCAACTGGTAGGTCATGACCGACTTTAAGAGGTAGTGCTCATCTCAGTTTATTAAGACAAAGAGCCAGTGTTGTCCGGAAACATTTCCATGGTCATGTAGCCTGCATGACATCATGCCACAGCACAAAGAATGTGATGAAATATAGAATGCTATTACTTTCCCGCATACTTGTGGTACCTATTTATCTACTTGGATTTGCATGCTTTCAAATTAATAGGCTGGCAGGAGCTGAGACAAGTGACAGGAGCTCACTCAGTTTCATGGCATTCAGGTCTTGAATTGCTGAGCTATAGACCTTTAATGGTCTAAGAGTTAGCATCTTAACCACTGAGCCACTAAGTCTCTGTAGTTATGAGTAAATCAAGATAAATTAATCAAATGCAATTGTGGGCTAAAGTCAACATAACCACAATGCCTCTGAACAAAATATCTTGTACACCTTGCCAAGATCGAAATGCCTTTTTGTGTTGGGATAATAATTGTTTAATTTGGGATGGGACTACTGCCCTAATGGAGCCCATTAACCTTTTCCCCTGTCATTATTTTTCTTATGGAAAATGTCCCTGTCTTGGATGATGATGGTTCCAAAGAGTATAGAAAATAATTCTGCAGCCAAGCACAACTGGGAAGCCAGCGTTTGGGGCATGAGTCCCATTGCTAGCGTCTCACATAGCATAGCCTCAAAAATATTTTTTTAGAGTGCTAAAAAAGCTACCACCATTTAATCGCTTGTTTTTATATGGCAGCTCATTTATTTGCATGAAACCATTTGGAAGTATCAATAGTACAATGGCCAAACTCTCCAGTGTTAACAAGCCAGGAGTAATGTGTAAATCGTCCGCTGTATGACCATCCCACTGGTCTGGAACAGCCTTTAAAACCATCTTTTTCTCTTCCAAATTCTCCACTCACTAAGAACGCTGCCTTTAAGTAGGTGAGATTGGAAATTCTGATCCAGAGTGGTGATGGAGAACACAGTCAGGTATTGTATTTATTCCAGAGTAAGTATCTCATCTTAAATGTGCAAACTTAGAAAACATTTTAATAGCTATTGCAAAGTCACTGGGATATATTCACATGACATGGGGAAAAGGCCACTTGGTAACAAGATGCGATATTACATCAGGAAAGCAGATATGGCTAATTTCTATTTTTTAATGTACTGATTAATTTCCATGAGAGGCAGATTTGATTCAGAGCCAGTGTTCAAGGGTTCAAATTCCCAATACTCTACCAACTCTACTGCTATAATAAGTATTTAGCAGCCTTGCATAGTTTTCTGTAGACTGCCTTTCTCAGGTTTAAGGTCTATAAACATGTTGGATCACGATAGAATGTAGTGGGAATTCATAATTTGATGAAAGGAACAGTTCCATCCTTCTGGTAACCCGAGACAAAAACATTCAGAAGTACCTTGAGCAATTTGCAATCTCTATCCTGGCTCCATCACAGTCACGTCCACCACATCGTGGCTGTGGGTTGTTACACATCCGTGATCTGCACATGCAGGAACCTGTACTATCTCCATCTGTGTGTTCACATGGTTGCCATGGAGACCAGGTCCCCAACTGCCCATGCACCATCAGATTTTTCACCTAATTAAAAGAGAAAAAATCAATATGGTAAGTCTACACAGTGCATAAGTTGTATAAGAGCAAACGTGGTAAAGCCAGGAAGCCTTGACTCGTTCCTCTGACTCTTCAGACAATACCACACTTCAGTGCATTCTTGGCTCATGCAAACAACCAGACATAATCAGAAAACAAATCAAGAACATCCATTATTCTTCACAATGTACAATACAGTCAATGCATCTTATGAAGATAGAACCAAAACGAACTTTCTAGCATTGTAGTTTATGGCGGATTAAAGAACCTGTGCAAATTTTGATAGCTAGTTCTGAACTTGTCTAAGTTAAAAATATAGTGACAACAATCTTCATTTTTTTCCCCATATTTACAGCATGAGTCCTTTATGTCTGCTATATCAAATTGACCACTGCTTCTATGACTCCCAAAACGCGCCCCTGCGGGATATTGCTTTCATCTTTCCCCAGTACAAAGGAAGACAGGGAAATCCTCCATGGGCTCCTTTCTCTTTTATCCATTTATCTTCTCACTACATACAACAATGATTTCCCCAGAAAGCACAGATGGTGATCAGGACAAACAGTTTGTTGCACTCCTAATCAAATTCACCCTGTAACCAGTCTGTTTTTTTTCTTCTTTACAGACTTTTGGTGTACGGATAAAAAGAGAAAGCAACAATAAAGAAAACACAGGTTACAAAGGAAAACCATAAGGTCTAGTAGAAGACTCCTCTATGAAAAAACTGGTGAATTCAGGTAAAGTATTTGTAGAAGAAAAATCATGTCTGGAAGTCACAACTGCAGCAAAGAGATGCCTTACAGCAAAAATAACTACCTTTCTTGAAAACAAGAGGGACAGAATCCTATAGCAGCTGCTACTGATTTTTGTCAAGGCCAGAGAGATACTCTCCCCGCTTCATAAAAGCATCAAAATACAGAGTCTCTTTTGGAGGCAAATAGTTACAAAACAAGGATTGCAAATCATAATTTATCTCCTATTTCCCCACTTCTTTACTTGGTCATTGCCAAGCTCTCTCCTGGCACTTCCTCTGAGCCTCCATCTTGCATCTAAAGTCTACAAGGTACGGTATAACATGGAAGTAATTTAGATCTGTCATTATATTTGTCACACTGTAGTTAGAAGGACTTTAAACATCTGTTCCAAAGCTTTGTTTTTCATCACATTCAGCAGCCTGAAAACAATAAGCAAGAAGACCGAATGGTCTTCCCTGCTGTATTCTAGCTACTGTTCAGCTGGACTCCTTGCTTAAAAATATTACATATTCATGCAGGATGGAAAGAGTTGTGTAAAGTTAACAAATACCCATTCTTTTCAACTTGTACAGCTCAAGAAGGTGGACAATGTATGCTCAGTCTCTGCCACTCCTGGCTAATTAAATTAAATTAGCCAGGTTGGCACTGGCCCTATGGTGATAGGAGGAAACTAATATCTCTTTAAGTGAGGGATTGTATCTTTATTGTAAAAGTCTTCTGGGAATTTAGAATATGTTATTAATTGTATGTATGAGCTCACTCATGCCTTAGTCACTTCCTGCTTGGAATACCGCAACATGCTGTACATGGGATTACCCTTGAAGACAGTCTGGAAGCTGTACCTGGTCCAGAATGCAGTATCACATGGTTCACCCAAAGTATACCACCTGGCAGGGCAAGCTACTATATATGCACAAGGAGCAAACCCCACACTCAATAGGACTGATAATGTTACTTAGTCAGGTAATGAAATAACTACAAGCAAACAACCAAGCTCAGAGAGTACCAAGGACTCCACAGAGACAAGGTTCAAGTTATAGGACAGAAATGAGGAAGAAAAACAGAGATTATCTATTTGAAAGCAAGAAATTTCAGGATTGATTCAGACAACAATTTAGCTTTGAGGTCTGAGTATCTTCAAAAGTACATTTTTGTCCTACAATTTTGGTCTTCAAAAAAGAACTCTTTTTTTGTATTCCACCATCAACTAAGACAGAGAGGGCAACCTTTTGATGGACCAGGCCACATTTATAGAGAGGGTCAGAATCATAGTTGAGTAGACATTTATGGAACTGTGAAGGACATGTTGGGACACACATGTCGGAAGGTGAATTTTCTGTTTCTTGGTTTTGATAAAGGAAGCTTGAGCATGTTCTTTGTTGAAGGTTAGATAGTATTAAATTATTTCTTATTTTCTCCCCCTCCCTTCAGGAATACTACATTTTGTCACTGTTGAGTTGCCTAATAATAAAAAGGGAATTTTATCATAGTGAATCAATCTAGGAAAGGGGAAAAAAAACTGTGTATGTTCTCAATATAACCTTAAAATCCTAACATGTTCTCAATCTGAAGGCAAGCATTTCACAACAGAAAATATATTCAAGAGAACCACAATTGCAATGCATCATTCTTGCAATATTCGTTACAATACCCACCCCACTCCTTCAACCCGTTTATATAAAATTTTAATACAATGATGGCCTATGGGATTTTCCAGTACGCAAGGGATTAGTATAATTTATGATGCATGCTTACCTAACACACATAGTCAAAAAATACACAAGGTAGTAGATTGCAAAGGAGCAATTTTAAATACATGCAATATGGTTTTAGGATGAGAGAATTGTATCTAATATGTAGTTTGATCCTAGAAAGAAAACTTAAATAAGAAAAAAATGCTCTTTTCTAGTCACCTGAACTTACCAGGAAGGTCTTCAACTAACCACAGAACGCCGACCCAACCTTAGAAGCAAATAAATAAACAACCAGCAGTTTCCTGAATGTGGCAGGCTTCTTTCCTCCATTCTTTTAGGGAATATCTAGTCCAATACCCCTGAAATGTCTGAAGTCACCTTCAGTCATTTTCCAGGGGATTCAAATTAAACTGGGGATTCAAATTAAACTTTCTTAAGGGAGATCGCATTGATGTTTTAGGCAAAGAGCAAGGATTTAACTGTGATAAATGAGTAACAAGTCCCAACTTGAAAGATTATCTACTGTTAGCTTAAAGATGTTTTAAAATCTGTACTGAAGGGCATATGTGCTAGCTGGGAGTCTTTTGCCTCCCTTTACTAGCCTCTAGTCAAATATTCTGCATATAGCTCCCATCACATCTTAGCAAAATGGGTAGCTATATAGCAAAGTGGGGAATTAGATTACTGTATCATCTAGGTTTCTCTTTTTTTTTGACCACCCTTCCTTATAGCAACGTTAAGTAATTTCCCACCTGCTGCTGGTTAAAGAGATAGCCACATACGGTGCACATCAGTGCTGTTCAATTAAGTCTTAATCCACTTTGAAATAATCCATGATGACTGCCAGTTGATGTGTTAATGGCTGCTCAAGGTGCCTTTGCAAGTGCTGTCTTGGATATGTAATGCAGAGGAGAAGCAAGGGGGAGTTACATTAAGGGAGCTCTAATTGGATGGAGCACTCCATCTTGTATCGCTGAATTCCTCCTTCCCGTGATTACCTCTATGTAGCTTTCCCTAACCTTTCTGCCAGAAGAACGAATGTCTGCAGTTCTCACATTCCTTCTCCATATTGTAAGTGAGAAGAGTAAAACAGCTGCAATTCCATTCGGTACTCACGGGGTGGCAATGCACTGATTCATTAGGCCAGTGATGGTGAACCTTTTAGAGACCGAGTGCCCAAAAACTGGCCCCGTCCCCACTCCACCCCCTGCCCCACCCCCACTCCGCTCCCACCCTGCCTGCCCACAAGGCCACTCATCACCTCCAGGGCCCGCCGCAGATCACCCAGGCAGCCCAGCAGTGCCATGGCGGCCACGCCCTCTGCCCACACCCTGCAGCATCAACTATGTGTGATGGGGTGTGAGGGCAGAGTCTTGTCTACGCTGCCTGGCTGCCATGTCCTTGGCTGTGCTGCTCCGCGTGAGCCACTCTCGGGGGCGACTCTCCTCCAGGGGGGCTGCTGGTGAGGAGCGGGTTGCAGGGGGAGGCAAGGCTGGGCAACGGCACGTGTGCCCACAGAGAGGGCTCCGAGTGCTGCCTCTGGCACCCGCGCCATAGGTTCACCACCACTGCATTAGGCCTTAGAAATGGGAACATCTCAGAGTCCTATTTCCAACTCATATCTTGTCTCTGTGGCATCAGAAACACAGTTTTTGTACTGTCCTGGGCATTATGGTAAACAAATAGCTACTGTACTTTACATCTTCACAGGCAATTATAAGTTTGGTCTAGTGGTTAGGAGAGTATGAGTTCTAGTCCCACCTTGGGATGAAAAATTGGCTGGGTGATTTTGGGCCAGTCACTCTCTCTCAGCCCAACTCATGTCATGGAGTTGTTGTGGGAAAAAATAGGAAGAGGAAGGAGTATTGTCATCACCCTGAGTTGTTTATAAACAATAAGAAAGGCAGGATAAAAATCAAATAAAAACAAATTAAATTCATACTTTGCTTCAAGCCCATTTTCATTAGTATGATGAAAGCAGCATCATGGTGCAAGCTCTGCCCTTTTAAGGCTGCAATATCATGATGCATGTAGAAAAGAGGTGAGGCCATGATGCCGCTTGCTCTTAAGTCATAAAAGTGGCTGGTTTTTAGTTTTACATATTGTCTTATCCAGCTGGTTACCATCCATTGTGGCAAAGCAGAATCACTTGAATCAAGCCTTTTGAATACCCATCTTAGAGATTCCCATTTCTGATGCAGCTGTTAGTAGTCGTGCCTTAAAATCCAAACTTTACTCTTCCCATCCCTTGTGTCATTTCTAAAATCCAAATGACTCACAACAGGCTATTTTCGGGGACCATACAAGACTGATTAAAAAAGGAGGGGGCTTCCCACCGGGCTAGGGCAGACATTGTTTTTCAAGGAAAGGATTAACACCTCATACACCTAGCAACAGACAGAGGCATTAAACTGTGACAAGATAACAACACCTGGCAGTCAATAAACATTATATCCCAAGAACAGCAGGAGAAGGCTATAAGTAGACAATACTTTAAAACCATATGAGAAACGAAGAAGAAGGAATGACTAATGCTATATGGGGAGTGGGAGTGGGGTGGAAAGGAGTAACCAAGGTTATTAAGGACAGGAAAAATCCTAGCACTGCAACTTTAAATACAAGTTGGCAAGCTGCACAAAATATCCCTCTGCAATTTAGCTATCAATCACCCCTGCATAATGGGAACGTAACAACAGTAACAACAAGGGCTCATTGATGCTGAGGAAAAGGCTGTGCAAACCTTAGTGCTAAGGTTTGCTATAATGCCTAGGTCTACACCATAACCAAATGGGATGCACTTAGGTTTTCCCACATCAGTCCTCATGCAGATGAATGGAAAATATTGGAATTCTAGTAGTCACCTAACCCATGTGTCGTGGATGCCACAATGCTGCAGCAATTTCATGAAGACTAGTTCAAAGCAAAACATGCCATACATTTTTTTAATATTCCTGATTTTAGATTTTTACTTACAGGGCACTCGGTAATATTTTGACTCCAGAGGCTCATATTGGAGCTGTCCTCAATGGTTGTGCATCGCTTTTGCTTTTTATCCCAGCCGCAATACGGATCCCTTGCGCCCAGACACTCTCTGGTGGGAAAAGAGAAAGAGATTCATTGACCGGAAGCTCTAAAACAAGTTAACATACACACCTTCTTATGCAACAGCTGTCAAGTGTGCCAAATTGCAGCAGCAGAAACAAATTTATTTTAGAACAAAGCTTGACTTGCAAGGAAGGTTTCAAAAATGGCCAAATTAGCAGGCTAATGAAAGCCACTATTTCTCCCCAATAAAAACAAACAAAAACCCCTAGGTTTTTCACTGTCACTTCAAACCCAAAGGATAATAAAGAACTGCTTTGCCTATCTAATCAAAGAATATCTTGCTGTAAATAATAACATGAGAAATCCAATTTCCTAAAAAATAAATATATTTTGGAAAAATAACTTGTAATGGTTACAGAAACAAAAGGAGCAGGAATAGGGGAGGGGGCTGCTGAGCTGATGCTCGGCTAGCGCTCTAAACCGGGTCCGTAGGAAGAGGAGAGGGAAGGAGGCGGGATGTGTAGGGAGGTTGAAGGAGGAGGAAAGAGGGCGGACGCGGGGAGGGGGGGTTGCCGGGCTGTTTTGCAATATTAATGTATGTTTGTATGTTAAAATTAATTAAATTGAAGTTGTATTAATGTATGTTTATATTTGTAGGGGGGGTTATTTTGAAATTAATAAAAAATGTAATAATGAGGGGGAAAAAGGAGCAGGAATAAACCAATAGAAAATTATCAGATTTTTTTTAAAAAATACAATAGTAGCATTTATAATATAACATATAAGCAGTACATAATTAATCTCTTTTAAATTAAAAAAGTGGTACTTAATGATGTATTCATTATGTAAACATGGAGGTCCATTTTTAGCCATCTTTATTAAAGAAAATAACTGGTTAAAACCTTCAAAATTCAGTAAAAGTCACAGGTCAAACTAGATCTTATTTAGGAGAGCAATGCTAGTACACTTTCAGCCTGGAATGTATCATTTCTGACTATGGTTAATATGTTGTGGAAATTTTTAAATTGAATCCAGATGCTGCTAAAGAAGACTTTCCATCTACCTTAAAAGCAATAAATTTGAAGCTGGTATTTAGAGCCCCTTCTAAATACATCGTTGGCTAATATCAGTTCATGCTTTCTTTATCCATTTATATAAGTAATCTAGAGTAGTCAAAGCAGATCACCTTAGAGTACAAATAGGACTACACAGTAGACACAGTGGCTGTTGTTTTTTTTAAAAAAAACGATTAAGGGTTCTGTCGTCTTCCTATCATTTAACAAACAAATCTGGAAGGGACTTAACAAATATTCATCAATGAAAAAGACTCAGGTTCTTATTTTTAGTTCTATTGGTGGTAGAAAGTAATTTTGTTCTGTTCCTCCTCAAGTACTTGTGGAGAAGACACAACAAAAATAAATAAATAAAAACTGAGATTCCTTTAATCGCAAGGATAAAGAGTTTCCAACTTTCTGAACAGGCGGAAGTGACTTAGTTTTCACACTTATAGCTCAGGGAGTAGAATAGAATAGAATAGAATAGAATTCTTTATTGGCCGAGAGTGATTGGAAGGAATTTGTGTCCAGTGCATAAGATCTCAGTATACATATAAACAACAATACACAGGCAATTAAAAAGTTCTGTCTAAGTGTGTGTGTTTTTTGTTTGATCTGTAATAATTCAATCAGCACATTCAGTTCTAATCCATAGACCGCCAAAAGATTTTGCCATTAACTATCAATAGTGTGGAATGGAGTAGGGGAAGAATAATCAAGATACAACTCAGGAAATAAAATGAAAAATCGAATTTTTCCAAGTGTAGACATTGGTATGATAAGTTAATCATTCACATACACTCATGAACGTTCAGGAATATCCCCCAACCCATGAAGTGGCACTAGAAATGACACAACTTGTATCTACAGCATAGTGCAATCTATACAGTGCTATCAATGCACAGTTAGTACAAAGTGATGCATCTGAAAGCAAGTATCAGATTCCCTTCAGTTGCCAGATTAAGGATTTTCTTTTATGAGTCTTCACTTTATTCTTCCTATTCAAAAGGGATCCCTACTTTGTAATTTAAGCACACTCTCCTGGCAGTTTTAAATAAAGACTGAGAGCAAAAAGAAGCAATACTCTACTTTATTGCCCTTGAAAAGCTCTGTGGCAAAACAAAACACAGTAATGGAAGAAGTAAGGAGAAATGGTCCTTCTGTGGCAGCTCAGTCCAATCATATCTACCAAGGTCCAAGGATAAATGACTATGTAGGAAAAGCTCTGGGCTTTTCAACCCAAGGACTCTGAAGTAAATGTGTGTGGACTTTGTTTTTTGGTAGACTTTAATATGGCAAGCTAGGTCAGCCCATGTTGTTCTAATCCACAGTACAGAGTAAATTAGCACAGAATAACGGTGAAATTAGTTGCCTAGAGTCACTGACCAGACAGATCAGACAAAGAGAAGAAGCATAACCAAACGTGGCTCCTGAAGATAAGGGGAGGACAAATTAGTAGAGAAATAATAAATTCCACTCAAAAACCCCAGCCATCATAGAGAAAATCTATCTATGTGATTGCAAAGAATCACTACAAAATTTGAAGGCACATATTGAAGGAGCTTTATACAATCCATTAAACAGACATGTCCATTGAACATCCATGGGATGGCAATACATTTTTTTTAAAAACGAGTGGGTAGTAATTAAAAATTAGGAAAGAAGAAAAAGCACATCTGAGCAATTTCAAATCTCAAAGCAAAATCAAGGATTCCCAAGCATACCATTTCATATTACTTGTTTCTCCTTGGAAGCTACAAGATCAGAATAACTCTTTACAGTTCTTTTATGGGGTCAGCAACTGTATCTTAAAAAAATACAATTGTCTTAATGTGAAGAAGCAGATTAAACCTGGCTGAATGGTAAAGCAGAAATATACCACAAAGGTGTCTGAAAATCAAAATGTTTAAGTTTTTAATTTATCATTTCAAATCCCAGACTTTTAAAAAAAAACAGAAGATACACTTAAACAAGCATCATAAAACAGGCATTCCACATCCTTTTCACAGAGAAAGGACATTCCTGACATAATAAAATAAAATAAAATATTTCTTTGAAAATAAAATTAATGTGCTTTTAAGTGAATTGACTTATTTATTGTGGGCAGTGTCACAATCAGTGAAAATGTTATAAAACAATGAATTTAAGCAACTCAGTCTTGCTTCCTAAGAACAGATAAAACATGAGAATTACATCAAGACTTTATTTATTTAAAATATCGGTATGGCTACCTTTCGTATAGCAAAACTCTGGGTGGCTCACAATACCCTCCACAAAACAATACAATCCCATAAAACAAAGACGCAAGCACTTCAGCCATACTCCTGGTATGTTCCCCAAAACAAGCCCAAACACCCTCATTCTAACTCAACACCTGGGAAGACTCAGCTCTTTATGACCTTCGGAAAAGTGAAAACAGTGGGGACATATTGGATCGCTAGGGGAAGGGTCTTCCCCGGAGCTACAGAAAAGAGACACTTCCTAAGCCACCTATATGGTAATATTTAAGGGAAGGGACCTTGAACATGCCCACTTTGATCTGGTGGGTGAGCAGATACACTCAGGAGAGGCAATCCTGGCCCCATGCCATGTAGAGATTTAAAGGTGATAATCAATACTTTGAATTGCACCTGAGCAGAAGCTGGGAGCAGAACCAATAATCTAAAATTAAGTCACCACTCAGCATTGAAACAATGTTTTTGGGGACATCTCAGTATTCTAGCAACCACTAACTTTATGCAAGCTACAGTAATTCTAGTATATACCAATTATCTTTACTTGGGGCTCATAAAAGATTTACTTAGGGTTCCAGCTTTTCAGATGAATGTTAATTTCCTTTTACAAAGTGGCCCTTTGAACCAGGGGTGTCAAACTGCTGGCCTGCGGGCCAGTTGCATCATATGGAGGCCACGCCCGCCCCAGCTCCGGCAATGCAAAAAAAAGTCACGATACGTCATGACACGTGACACGAGTTTGACACCTGTGCTTTAAACTGATCAGATTCCATTCTCCTTATTTAAAACTCCTCGGGAAGTAACATAGTTTGGTCATTCTTTGGTTACCCTAAAGCAATTCAGAAATGCATTTTTATACAGGAAATCACAAGATGTGCACATGTGTGCAATACTTTCTAATTGGTCTCCATAAGGTTTTACAGAATGAGATATAACTTCTTAGATTTAATGTCTACATTGCTGCTATTTGGCGGAGTGGTTCAGGTGATCCCCTAGAAACCAGGAGACTGTGAGTTATAGTCCTGCCTTAGGTATGGAAGCTAGCTGGGTGACTTTGGGCCAGTCACTCTCTCTCAGCCCAACCCAACCCACCATACAGGATTATTATTGTGGGGAAATAGGAAGAGGAAGGAGTATTAGGTACCGTATGTTTGCCACCTTGAGTTACTTATAAAGTAATAAAGGTGGATTAAAAAGTTAATAAACAAAAAAAAACATGTAGGTCTACCAAACTTTCAAAATCTACCCTTAAACCTCCCTGGTTTTTAAGAATGAAAACTGAAAAAGACAAGAGGACCATCCTTTGCTACACAGAGAATAAATTCAAAGAGTTACCTGTCCTTGGATTGTGGACATCAAACTAATATATATATAATACACAGTACACTGTTGACATTTAATGTTATATGGATGGGAGGGGATGTTTTGCTTTGATGTTCGGTTGTTGTTGTTGGGAGTTTTTTTGTGTTTTTTTGTTTTTGCTGTATGCTACCCAGAGACACTGGCTGTTTGAGTTGGGCAGCCTTATAAACCGTATAAATAAATGAATATTTTTAATACACACACAGAGCTGCAAGAGGAATAAGCAATAAGCAAAAGGGAAACATTTATCACCCCCTTTAGAAGCATAAAGTCTGGAATCCAGAATTACCACTCATATGGAGAAGTTATAAACTACAGGAGGGAGGCCTGCAATTGGCAACTTGTAAACCATGAGCTCCTTCCAACTACAACGGCTGAAGAATTATAGTAGAGCT